TGCAACAACATAACCACTGCACAAAACATGACCAATACATGCAATATAAAAACTAAGTAAATACACTTCATATTAAAATATTAAAAAGGTAAAACACAACAAAACATGCAAAACTTAAATAACTTGTCCCTTTCCACCCCGTGACATTTACATAATAATGTAAATAACCAAATAATGATCCTTATTGCTGTTTTAGAGAGAAGCGGTGCTTAAAGGATAGTTGTAGACTTCTGTCAGAATCTGCAGATTATACAGTACAAATAAAATGTTCACGTTGTCTTCCCAACTGTTTCACCGGATGGCCAGGAAGCGTTCACGATGTCTTCTCCGGCACTGATAATAGGGCTTTGGAGTTGACGTCACGCCGCAATGCATTGTGGGAGCGCAGCTCCATTTTTGGGGTCTATGAATCAAAACAAACACACTGTGTTGGAACGACGACGACAAGAAACATGCTTAAAAGCAGCTCAAAAGAAAACGGACGGTATACAGACCGATTGCGTCCAAAGGCGAAGCAGCGGTACTTGAAAAAAATAGAGTGCATCGTAAATCTGGACCCATTTGAAATACGGCAGTGGAGTAAAGACTCAGACGACTTACCGCCACTGTCCTACCCCGATATCTTCACGTATCTTGTTTGTGGAGTAAGTGCTTACACAGCGAACCAGTTTCGTAATTACAAGTCACTGGAGGCGCACATCCAATTTACAAATGGCTGGGTGCAAGATTTGGCTATTTTCAAGCCGCCAAACTCTGAGTACGTCGTCATTCATACCAAAGTAAGTCAGCTGGAGTGCATCGAGTGAAATAGCCATTTTCCACCCCCCACCATAATTAATGTTATACATTTATCATTGAACTGCTAAAATATCGTTATCATATTATATGCCCGTAATTGTAAAGTAGATGCAAATTAACACATTGATAATCGGGCAAATTATTAACGCCAATTTGTGTCCTTCCTGTCTCATTTCATTTATTGTCTTTACATCAACCAATCAAGTCACTCCATTCGATGTTTGATCGCAATTTCTATAACTTCCGAGACCACCAACGATGATATTATTCAGCTATAAAGTGTGATGTGAACATATTTAGAACTTACCGGAATGAAAATGTCGTGAGCACACCAGCTGATATCTGGAGACGTAACAGAACTTGATATCAGCTCGTCTCACGGCTGCTATCCAGGCTAGACGCCTTCGTTTGGTAATATCCGATACATGAGCTCCTTCATGTTGCTTCCAGGTTGGGAAAGCATAAAAAGACAATCCAAACTTATTCCCGTGCCAGTTGTAAGATCGAACATTGCAGCCGACCACACAGCAAGTACGAACCATGGCTATGCTTTCGCTCCTTACTTAGACCCCAAAAATGGCGGATCGGGCCAAAATCCTTTCCACGCCCACCCCCGTGACATCACGCTCCAAAGCCCTATTGGCGTCTGTCTCGTGTCAGTGACGTAAAAGACGGATTTAATGCGACTTGACCGTTCAAACAGCAGTCGCTTTCTGAAACATCGGATATGTATCGGATTCAGTACCAGATCGGATTTGAAAATATCGGATTTGTGCCGTTCACACTGTCATACCATGATCGGATATGGGTCGCATAGGGTCAAAAAAATGAGATTTGATGCGCTTTCGCTTTCGTAAGTCAAGATAAATCAAAGAGCCAACTGAAAAAACTGAAGGCAAAGGAACCTTAAAGACTGAAGTGAGACCATACAGTCAGAATGAAACCGACTAGAAAATGCCCAATAAATGAAAGAGGATACTCCTCCACTTCCTGCCCCAAGTGGAGGAGTTTAAGTATCTCAGGGTCTTGATCGCAAGTGACGGGAGCAGGAGATCAATAGATGGATTGTTGCTGTGATTACAGTGAGGTGGACACTGTACTGGTCTGTCATGGTGTAGAGAGAGCTGAGTGTAAAAGCAAAGCTCTTGATTTACAGTCACTCTATGTCCTACCCTCAGTTATGGTTATGAGCTGTGGTGACCAAAAGAATGAGGCCTCACCCTTAGAGATAGGGTGAGCAGTTCAGGCATCCGGGAGGGTGTAGAAGTAGAGCCGCTGCTCCGCCACATCGAAAGGAGCCAGTTGAGGTGGTTTGGGGATCTGGATGCCTCCTGGGCGCAGTGTTCTGGGAGATTATATCTCTCGGCTGGCTTGGGAACGACTTGGTGTCCCCCCGGACAAGCTGGAGGAGGTGGGCGGGGAGTGGGAGGTCTGGGCTTTTCTGCTTAGGTTGCAGCCCCCCTGACCGGCCCTGGATAAGCAGAAGAAGGTCGATAGATGGATAATGGATAACCAAAACAAAGACCCAAAAAAACATACAATCCTCAAAACACAAGTCTCCCCATTATTATTATAAAGAAAAGAAAAGAAAAAGCTTAGACAGAAACCTAAAGTCAGATGCTTTCAAGAAATCCAGGGACCATCCCACTGGTATATCCCATCATATTGTTGCTCAAAACTCATTATAGAAACAATGCTTAACAAAACTTGGAGGGAGAAGCTGATCTGGTCGCAGCTTTGAACAGAGCTTAAATGAGAATTTCTACCCTGAAAATTGTATATGTACATGGTATTACTAGGAAAACAAACTGCATATGACAGCCCATGTTCTGGGAATGTATTGCCTTGTTACTGAGTAAAACATCAGCCTTTTCTGAAGGGTCAGGTGGGAATTTTTTTTCAGACATGATGAAATAAATCATTTTCCTGTTGCTGTAAGACCTGAGGTTCTCAGCTGATATTTTGACATGTTTTTGAAGGATTTCAAAATGTATACTCTTTTGCAAAAGTGGTTTCCTCTTTATTTTCTCAGATCACGGAAACAAACTGTTTCACTCACACGGTTAATCACAGGATTAAAAACACCAAATTAAAAAAAGAAAACAACACACAAAAAAGTGACACAATGCCAACAATAGTTTTCAAGACAAGTTTCCTGATCAGACTTTGTTTGATGCTTGAAAAGATTCAGCCATCCTAAAGTTTCAGTGAGCTCACTCAGTAGAAGAAAGACAGTACTGATATATAATGAGTTCAATTTTTTAGTTAAATTTATTGAAAAATAATACATACAGACAAATAAAACAATAGAAGCTTTAGGTACGAATAGAAAAAGATGTGTTAAAAGAAAACAAAGATTTGACAAAGATTTTATGCTGGGTGCCTTTCCTTTGGTAAATGGTAAATGGACTGGTTCTTATACAGCGCTTTTCTAATCTTCTGAGCACTCAAAGCACTTTATACAACTTGTGTATTCACCCATTCACATCCATTTGCATAAGCAAATGTTTCTAAGTGCTTTCTAACTAACATTTACACACATTCATACTCCGATGAATGCATCGGAGAGAAATTTGGTGTTAGTATCTTGCCCAAGGATGGCATGCAGACTAGACCAACCTTATGATCAGTAGATGACCTGCTCTACCGCCTGAGCTACAGCCACACTCCTCAGTTGAGGCGGGTGGAAATGTCAGAGTGTGCTGATGTTACAGTGGTTAGAACTGCCACCTCAAAAGGGGCTGCGATTCTCAAGATAGCAGTTAACTGAGGCGTTGTCACTGTCACCTAGCAACCCGTGAAGAAATGGTTGGCGTTCCTTAGACGTATGTTCAAAGATGTCTTGAGCATCTTTTCAATGAGCTTTGCCTGAGCTCCTTTCCTGCTTTTTTTCAAAAGAGGTAATTGAATTGAATTGATTGATAATACTATTCATCCAGAGGGAAATTGGGTTAAGGCTGCCAGCCGTGCCAGCGTCATCTTACCGTTCCAACCAAATCAAATCAAATCACTTTTATTGTCACATCACATGTGCAGGCACACATGCGAGTGAAATTCTTGTGTGCGAGCTCCACAAGCAACAGAGATGTGCAAAACACAACAACACAAACGAGCAAAATACAAGAATGGCCAACCTGAAATTAATAAATATATGTACAATATATAATAGTGTATGCATTTCTGGATGTGTATACTAAATGTTTTTCTACGTGTGTGTGTGTGTGTGTGTGTGTGTATACACATTTTTACAAATTAAATAGTAAAAAAAATAATAAATAAAATATATAAAAATATACAGAGTTGAGACATGTGCAAAACAGTGGCATTACTGCCACTACCGCCATACATACATTACATACATTACACAAACATCACATGGGGAAGACAGATCAGAGAGGTATAACAATGAATATTGCACAACATGAGGAAAGATGAGGAGAAAAAATAACTCCCCCCAGACTGAGCTCCAACAGGGAGATCAGTTTGAGAACAGAAAAAAACACCTCAGCACATGAATCAGCACATCTCACAACATAGAAGACATAAGCTTCGAAGGTGTTTGGTGGGGGGTGAGTGTAGGTCTGTGTCAGTGTACATGCGTATGAGTGTGTGTGTGTGTGTTCCGTGTTCAACCGAGACAAAGTGTCCCTTCACCCGGTTAAGCAAAGTCAACAATCTTCGATCAACACAGAAGGAGGTACAAAGAGTTCTGACAACAATCCTGTTATCATGGAGAATTTTGTTGTTCCAGTCAGCTTCGACCTTGACAGGCCTTCAGCTGGCGCCAGTGGGATAGTCGCACGAGTGAAGATGGTGAATGTTTGGGTTTAGTGCGAACAACTGCATCCAATTTTTACAGCTGGTCTAATGTCCATCACTGGTCACCAGGTCTCTCAATTCCCGTTGTTCTTCTCCAAGATCTTATCCATATTGAGTTCAAAACACAGTCTGAGTACTCACAGCCCTGCCCATCATCTATAATGTCAGCCAGCCTTGTGGGATTTTGAACAGCTGTAGCCGTTTCTTGTACTTCGATAAGCCAGGTCTGAGCCAGCTCCAATCAGTCAGATCGTGGTTCCGAATTGGTAGATGTCGTTCAATGTCCTCCATCGAGAGTGTCGCCAGACACACGACGCAACCGACCATCGAGTATCCGGCAGCAAACGTCTCCTCAGGACAATCAGGCTCTGGAAGGTGTCAATTCCATTACGGGACCAGATGATCAAATCCATAATTTTTTAGGTTTTAGAGAACAAAACTGAGAAACTCTTTGAGGGTTAGAGAATAAGCGAGACAATACAAAAGACACGAGAAGCCAAGCAGGAAAGATAAGGGAGAGGGAGAAGGAGAAAAGTGCCACCACCTCCGTCAAGAGCAAGAGAATCATGAATAATGCTATAAGAATGGAGAATAGAATAGAATAGAATTGACCATTATTGTTACTGTACATGTACAGTGTGTTTACTCACAGCCTAGGGGAGAAGCTGTTAGTGAGTCTGGAGGTGTTGGACGTCATTGACCTGTGGCACCAACCAGAGCGCACAAGGGGTCACCTGTGATGTCCCTGGTTTTCCTGATATAGGAGGAGCTGATGATGGCCCCCAGGGGTGGCAGAGGGCAGCCAATGAGTTTCTGGGCAATATTAATTACCCTCTGGCCAGCCTTCCTGTTCTCAGTTGTGGCTCCTGTGTACCAAACACTCAGGTGGTAGGAGAGCATGCTCTCTACTCAGGGGCGGGAACGGGCCAGCAGCAGCTTCTGTCCAGATTGTTTTTCCTGAGGACAAGCAGAAAGTGTAGCCGCTGTCGGGCCTTCTTTAGCAGGGTATTGCTGTTGTGGGTCCAAGTGAGATAGGCAGAGATGTGGGAGCCCAGAAACCTGAAGGTGGAGACAGTTGGCAGTTTATGATGTGCTGACAGGCTATCCACTCCATGAAACCGGTTTCAGTTCTAAATTTTAGCAGCAGGACATTTCAAATCAGCTGTGGTTGCCTCAGGAGTCTGCTGCTTCTTTCTTTTAAACGTCCGCAGTAGCACAGAACCACCTATAGTAACAACAAGGACAGCAGCAGCAACAACAGCAGGAACAACCATCAGGACAGTTGGAGTTTCTTCCTCTTGAACAAAATGCATGTTTCCACCCCCATGTTCTCCTTCTGTGATGGGCTGCTCAAACATGCTGTCACGTGTTTCACCTGCAGAGAAAACATTAATTGTTAGAGCCAAAATGCTGAGATACCAAAATAAGAAACCAACAAGAGTGTGTGTTCTGCAGGTGAAATTACTGACAACAGCTTCAGTTACTCATCTGGAGCAAATTATATTTTACAGCTGCGAAAACAGCAAAAAGTTTTCAAATATATACAACTAAAATATAGCTTTAATGACCAATGTCCACCAAAGTACATTTAGTATCCATGTGTGAGAGAATATGTCCAGAGAATATTCATGGATGTAATGAAGCAGGACATATAGAGGGTTGGTGTGACAGAAGAGGATGCTAAAGATGATCAGAGTGAGATTCTGTATCAAGCCCAAAAGGGAGCACCTGAAAGAAGAAGATTGCTATGACTTTACCCTTCACACTCGCCATCGGAGTAGAAGTGAGCAGAGGGGACAGTGGGTGAGTTATTTTACCTACACACATATTGGTTGGTCATTTACTATATCACACAAGTACAGAAAATTCTTCTTAAAGTGAGCAAGTGCTGCAATTTCCAGGCTGGGGAAGAGACTCACCTGTGACTGTGAGGTTGATGAAGTGACTGATCTCAGTGTGAGCTCTTTTATTTCTCACAGGGTTCCTCACAGCTATGTGACACTCATACATCCCAGTGTCATTAAACGTGACGTTCTTCAGGATCACAGAAACGTCTCCATCCTTCATCTCCGGGTCCCTTAGCTTCACTCGGCCATGAAAAGATGGATGTTGGTAGTTTTCATAGAATCGTTTGTTCCTGTAGAAGTAGACGTAGCCGTCTGTGTTCAGGTCAGCTCTGCTCCACTTTAGCACTGAGATTATTTCATCTGTGGAAATCTGACACTGGAGAGTGACGTCTGCTCCAAACTTCACCTGCACATCCTGCTGCAGAGCTGAAGGAAAGAGAACAATCGGTAAGTATGAAGTTTATCTCACTCTACTGTTACTTTAATACGTGTAGCTGCTGTTTATACAATGTAAGTGATAACTGAAATGATCTCACATTTGTCTCCAGTTCATGAAATCGCATGAATGAATTTCAGAAAGCTTAACATTTAACATGCTAATTATCGCTCCTGTGTTTTTTTGTTTGTTTGTTTGTTGTTGTTTTTTTGCAGTTTGGGGGCATTGCACAGTGGGGTTGGGGTGTCTGTCATCTCAACTCCTAAGAGGACTATGCCATTGCATTTCAAACTTGCCTCTCTGACTTTGTCTCCAAACCTCTGATATATTCATTCTAATTATGTCAATCCTGTTCACTCCAAATGAAACCTTAGCATCTTCAGTTCAGCCTCCTGCCTTTTCGTGGAACCAGCTCTAAGCCGTTCATCAAAGCAGGTCTCACAACCATCTTGTAGAACTATCATCTTACTCCTGCTGCTACCCTTCTTTCACAAGTCACCCCTGAAATCCTGCCTGCACTCTCTTCTTCATTGCTCTTTTTCACCATCCATTACTTTGTTCCAGTCTTTAAACTTTTGGGTACTTTTTACCTCTGTTTCATGCAGCTTCCCTGTTACGCCAGTCTCCCTCTCATTCATATAAATAAAAGTTTTTCTTGTCAGCCTTTAGTTGTAAAGAATAAAAATATTAACAAATTTTGTTTCACTCACCTGTTGATTCAGCAATTAGGAAGAAACCCAGGAGGACCCTGAGAAAAGCCATGTGTGACAACAGATTACACTGAAGTGCCTGCCGACTAAACAAAAAGTGGTTTTTCAGTCAACTGAAACCTTTTATGTTGAGAGGAAGGGAGTGGTTTAAAGGAAATGAGTATTATTCTGAAAGGCAAAAGAAAGGGAAAGTTAGCTATAGCATGCCTTTTACACAGTTTCTTACAAGCTTCCCCTTTACTATTAAGCATTTGCCAGAACAAAGTAAAAAAACAAACAAAAACCTGGTTCACAAAGTTTCAGTGCAAACTGCGAGTCAATAAAGAATACATATAAAAAAGATAAAAACCATTTATTCTGTGGTGTCACCAAATTACCTTTACACAGTGAAATAAATCTGTCTGATTCACATGGCAGTGTGGTCCATCTTCTTAGTTTCACACTGTGAAACCTTGACAATTTTAGTTTTCGAATGACCTGATGAAAATTTACATCTTTACAGCACTAAAAGCTCAAATGTCTTAGCATTGACTTTTAGATAAACATAATTATTTCAGATGAAACAAATTGAAGGAAAACCAGCAGAACAAATGTTAACTCCTGGGCATTTCTCCCAATTCTCACCTCTAACAGTGTCGTTGGGCTGGGACACATCCTTCCCTGATGACTCACTCTGTTAATCCCAGAACATCTTCGTGTGGTGGAGCAGCAGTAGAAATTTCTCCCTACCAGCGATGGGAATAACGGCGTTACAAGATGTTACCTGCAACACCAAATGTTTTTTAACTGAAATATCAGCACCTGACTTCCACTGGGCCGGTGTGAGCTCTCCAGCCTGCCTGTGTACATGTGGCTGACAGTTCTGCATACCTTTCCCTCTTTCTCTCATGAGAAGCCTCTGTCTGCTTTTTTTATGGGATAGTCAGCTCCACCTAACTATTCTGTCAGTGACTGGCCATGTTTGGGTTCAAGGATAACATTGTGATCCCCACGAGGAATTTCAGCTGGTAATCAAGTTTGACTGCCAGCTGTCAAACTCCTCCAAGTGACAGGAGAGACCATTGCATCTTGGAAAGTGACTATGCCCTTTCTAGAAAAGGCCACGAAAGCCGTGTGATTTTTTACATCATGCAAGTTGTTTGGGAACTTTATGTAAAATTATTCCTAAGAGATCATCTTACCTGACCACTTGTTTAAGATGTTTTAACATACCAATCATCTTGTTCCAGTTTACAGCTTTCTGAATTTAAGAGTGTTAAACTCTGAGTCTATTAGAGCATTATTTTGACACAGAAGGAATCCCAAGTAGAAAATGATCCTGGTGTCCAAGTGAATGGGACAAATTTTCATCCCTATGAAAGAATTAGCTTTGTGCAACTGCCTGTCCCACAGGGTGATGTGGGCCTTTAACATGCTCCCTTGTTTGTAGAGTGAAAATGTGTTAATATTTCTATACTTCTGAAGCTACCTGGGGAACAAAAGAGAATTAAAAAGCTGAATATTTCAGACATATATTTTAAATCTCTGTATATGAAGGTAATTTTTTTTCCATGCCTCCATTAAATATACTGACCATTGATATACCGAATTTACTGACACCCCCCACCCCCCCAAAAAAAAAACAAAAACAAGAAAAACAAGAAAACAACAACAGCAGTCAATTCATCAGTTACACTGTTTGATATAAGAAGTGTTTTTTCAAACAATATTTATTTCTATTAGTCTTTGCGTTTGTTGCCTTCACTTTTGTTTTGATAGGATCACAAAGGTGCTGTCATCTCGTGCCTTCGAACTGACAGTGGTCTAAGTAGAAATGAGTAAAGAGGGCTCACATTTGTTTAGTGTGTGGGTGTAAGCTTCAAAGACCACCCATGTATGCATGCAACACCTCACTAGCTTTTAGTGCCTGACATTTAAAGAAAGGAAACAAAGGGGGGGGATCACTTCCGTCAGAGGGGGGTACCTATAGGGGCCTTTACTGATACAGTGATACAGACACCCTATAAACGTTTACATCTCATTTGATTATTGCTACATTATATTTACACACACAAATATATATATATATATATATATATATATATATATATATATATATATATATATACATATATACACACAGCTAGATAGATATATAATGGGTTTTAATTAGGTTGGTACAGTTGTAGTTAGGTTAGGACATCTTAGCAGCACTGCATGGCAGCATGTGACAATTTTAATTGATTATATGGTAAACTTTAGATATTAGTGGTGGCTGATGATCAAAGTAGCCAGTTATTTTACTTGAATTCTTGAATCTCTCCATTCCTAATTCCTAATTCTTCCTAAATCTATGTCTCACCATTATTTTCTTACCATGTTATTTTCACCTTCCTTTGTGTCTTCACTTCTGTGTTTCTCCACAGCTGGTGCTAACAGGTGGTTATTGGGTGTTGCTGGTTACTTGACGGTGGTGGAGCTGCAGCAACAGCAAATTATCATGTCATTAATTTGACACATTTTGCTGCATTTATTTTTTTTGTGTGTGTGTATCAGCTTGTCACATCCATAGTTTCACTATTTCTTCTACATTAAACTCTGTAGGGGAGGATGCTGCGTTCAGAGATTTCACTACAATACAATGTCAGTATTGAAAATGAACGACTGGGCTGCTTTACAGGCGATTTGCAGCGGCCCTTCAATTGACCCATCGGCCCAAAAATAGGTCGTCCCACCGGGAAGATGTCCATTATGCCAGATTACCAATACAGCTCTCCTCTGTACGCTTTAATGTTTAAATTGATCCTGTTTAAATATTCAGAGTTTCAATTTGCAGCTGTCACCTTAGAAATAAACGAAGCACTGAGAGTGTACTCAGGTTAACTTGATTAATTTTTACCGTTATATTTTTTGTTTTTTAATCACCATTTGATCATCGCTTGCAGAATATCTCTTTATGTGCACACAGAGCCTAAAGCAGTGAACCTGCTTTAACAGAAAGTTCATTACCACCTTATTTTTAACCTGTTTGAAGCTTTAGTTATATTAAATGATGTTGTAATTTCATAATATTTTGCGGGGGGTTAATAATTTCACAAAAAGCTCTTCAAAGAGAGAGACTGGGTTTGAATCACCTGCTGGCCGTAGGTACAGATAAATGAGAACGGGTGCTGTACAAATTTTAGGGTATTACATAAATAAATGGGTAACTATCTAAAACCCATCTGGACTGTATGGTTCACTAAAACAGTGATGTTAGTTTAAAACGAAGTGCTGTTCTTTTTTATCATGAACACAACCTTTTCCACCTCTTTAAAATATGTTATTCTTGTAAACATATTTTATTTAAGTTGCTTATTTTTGTACAAAAAACAAAACAAATCTGAAAATCTAAAAGCCGAGGTAGAAAAAAAAAAGCCTCCCTCCCTAATATTCACCTTTACTCGTTGAATGGAGGAACAATTTCCCCTCACTTATTGTTAACATTTGGTTGGACACTCAGCAAACGTGTGTCAGTATTGTCTCTGCAGTATAATAAATATTCTTATTTCAAATATTTGAATTCCACAAACGGCACTCCTTTACACAATTTAATGATTTATTTATTATGCGGTGTGCAGATAATAGCAGAAAATAAAACCATCTGGTGCTCAGTATACTTGTTTTTCAAAGCAGCAGTTGACCAGAGGACAAAAACTTCACAGTTCAGTAATGCTAAGTAACACTTGATTTTGCAGTGTAGAGAAACATTGTACATTGTACTCATGATAATTTGCATAATAATGGTTCACGGCAAACTGAACAATCAAACTCGAAATAAACACACTGATGACATACAACACAAAAACAAGGAGTTATCAGAAACTCAACATCCCTATAATCAAAATGATCTGAATAATCATAGTTTCAGTTTCTTCTTAAGGATTTTTGTTCTGAGTATGTGAAGTGTGTATCAAGGAGGGATGTCGAGCTCATTTTAATTAAATATCCACAAATGGAGAGCAAAAATCAAAAGGAATACATTTAATTAATCTAATAATAATGATAATATCAATAACACCACCACCACTATGCCATTATTATTATTAAAAATAATAATTCATTATTTATTATTATTATTCTTGCCATTTTGATAAATTAATAATAAGCCTGTCAAGCCTCTCCTAAAAAAAACTGTGTAAAACTGTATTTTATTCAAATATGTAAAAATCACAGTTAAAAAAAACAAATATTTTAAAGTCATTGTCTTCTTTACATATGCATTGATATTCTATGTGTGCAGATCAGACTGTGTGGTATAAATAAGCGCGAGAGGTAAAAATTTATCAAACGTTCAGCAAAATGCAAACACATACACATGAATGTAAAGTATTGATGAAGTAATTCAGGTCAGTAAGATCTGTTTAGTCTCAGCTCACAACACCTAATAATAAAAACACTAAACGAAGGGCTCCAAAGATCAGATCAGCCCCTTCGAGCAGCACTTGGTTGAAGTGGAGAGAAACCTTCACACCCAAGCTAAAAAAGACTATATTACTTCTGCTTTTGATTAGTAAGTAAAAAAAAGTAAACTGAATGGATGTTAATTCACTGAGCAGTTTCCAGTTTTTTGTTCCCCTCCCTCCCTCCACTCAACATTTTTAGCCCTTTTCTATTAGTACCTACTCAGGTCAGGTTGGCTCAGCTTGACTCAGTTTTTTAGGGTTTGCCATTACCTTGTAGTACCTGGTACTTTATGAGTGAACTAAGTGTGGCGATCCAAAAATGTGACATTATTGATGGCTAGTCAGTGTTGCTGACTAGCCACTGTTAAAAGCCAGCAATGAGGGAAAGGACAGCCACAGAACAATCAGTAAGTATCACCTTGACATCCTTATGTTCGGCTGCATCACTTTCATGCCTGCATGCATGTCAGGTGGCACTCGATTATAAAAGCAAATGACCAAAACCAAGCAGAGCAGAGTCGAAGTAGGTATTAGTAAAAAATGGCTATTTGTAGCTGAGTTGAGGATATGGAGGCCTCAGTAACTGACTGATGTATTCACCATACCACCACCTTTGCAGAGGTGTAGAACCTTTACTGACCTCAGTAGACTTTCATTTTTTTTCCTACAGTCTTGAGGTAAATGTTGTTAAAGCATCAGCAAACATCTTTTCAGTCTTTCTCCTTTGTTTCTGTTTTCTCAAAATGTAACACTGCTCAAATAAAAGAGTGTGAAGATAAAATGTCTGACATCATGTGACAGAGGAAGTGAGGTAGTTTCAAAATTATCACCCGCAATGTCTAAAACTTTACTTGATTTGACATTAATGGACAGCAGAGATGGTCTTCAGTGTGGTGTACTTGATAAATGTAGTTACTGAAGTGTCAGCGTTTAATCTTTCCTCAACCCTTTACTTTCAGTTTGGGTCAAATTTGACCTTTTCTGACATTTTACAAACGGTCTTAACAACACATCACCCCCCACCCTCACATTTCCATCGGCATCCACTAAAGTTACACACTACAAGTTTTTCTTCCCCCACTTACAAATCCCTCAATGGCCTGGTCCCACAGTACCAGTCTAACCTGCTGCACCCACACACACAGTCTCGATGGTCGGTCTCTCTCCCTCCTCAACCTCCATACTTTCATGGGCAGAGCATTCATTTTGGTTGCCCACACCCTCCTTCCTTCACAACGTGCCATTGGGATTTTTTTTGTTGTTATTCCAGTTGTTATTATAACTTTTATTATTATAGTTTGGTGTGATTAGCCTCACAATAAGAATATTCCTGGTTTAAATCTTGCCTGTGGCCTTTTTGCATGGATTTTCTTGGTACTGCAGATGGTTCAAAGTCTAAACACATACATTTCAGTTATGTTAGTAATTCTAATGTGTCCATGTATATGCAGTAGATAAAATGTTTGCAGTGCACCTGCAAGCACAAATATCCATGTGTCATTCCATACATGCAAAGGTGTGCACGCAAAGTTTCCTACCACTGCTTTGAATGCACAGATTAGCTTCAATAAGCAAGATTTGTTCTCTAGGTGTATATATTTAACCAGTATTAATAATTATAAATGTAGTTATGAGGGCATTTTTATGATAGATATGTGAGGACAGTGGTTAATCGTTTTAATGGTTACAAATTATCATCTAATAAACAAACAGTTTGTGATCTTATCATTTTCACTTTAAATTAAATATATTTAAATCCTTATGGCGGTTATTTGTAATCAGCAGGACTGATTCTTCCTCAGTAGAATGTTAGACGCTGCTTCTTATTTCTCTTAAGAAGCAACACTAACAAACCAACAGCTGCAGCAACAGCAATGACAGCACCAACAGCAGCAACAGCAGCAACAATCAGGATAGTCTGTGCTTCAACCTGTTCAACCTCAGTGTTTCCATCAGCATCTTCTCTTTCCATGATGTGCTTCTCCAACATGTTTTCATGCACTTCACCTGCAGAGCAAAGATTAGCTGTCAGAGAATAAACCCTCAGATGTGAGCTTTAACGTGTTCAGCAGGTAAAGCTAGCAGGAGAACAGCTTCAGTCAGCTGCAGTTAAGGAGATGTCAAGTTACATAAAATGTGTTTGGCTGTTGACCGAAAGCATCTATGTTAGCAGCATGCTACGACTTTACCCTTGATATACAGTAGTAAGAACTGCTAGCTCAGTGCATGTCATTTTCTGTATTAAAGCTACTCGCAACAGAGTGAGCAGCTCAGCATGTTTTATCTGACATGTGACACTAAACACACATATGTTTTTGCTGACTATAGCCCAAAGGTTTTGTGTCACCTGGGCTTGAACTTGCTAAGTGAACATGCTAACTACGACATTATGGACGCACTCCATTTGCTGTTGGCATGACAAACTCACCTGTGACTGTGAGCTCAATGAAGTGACTGATCTCAGTGTGAACTCTTTTACTGCTCACAGGGTTCCTCACTGCTATGTGACACTCATACATCCCAGTGTCATTAAACGTGACGTTCTTCAGGATCACAGAAACGTCTCCATCCTTCATCTCCGGGTCCCTCAGCTTTACTCGGCCATGAAAAGATGGATGTTGGTAGTTTTCATAGAATCGTTTGTTCCTGTAGAAGTAGACGTAGCCGTCTGTGTTCAGGTCAGCTCTGCTCCACTTCAGCACTGAGATTATTTCATCTGTGGAAATCTGACACTGAAGAGTGACGTCTGCTCCAAACTTCACCTGCACATCGTGCTGCAGAGCTGAAGGAAAGAGAACAATCGGTAAGTATGAAGTTTATCTTGCTCTACTGTTACTTTAATACGTGTAGCTGCTGTTTATACAATGTAAGTGATAACTGAAATGATCTCACATTTGTCTCCAGTTCATGAAATCGCATGAATGAAGTTCAGAAAGCTTAACATTTAACATGCTAATTATCGCTCCTGTGGGGTTTTTTTTGTTTGTTTGTTTGTTGTTGGTTTTTTTGCAGTTTGGGGGCACTGCACAGTGGGGTTGGGGTGTCTGTCATCTCAACTCCTAAGAGGACTATGCCATTGCATTTCAAACTTGTCTCTCTGACTTTGTCTCCAAACCTCTGATATAGTCATTCTAATTATGTCAATCCTGTTCACTCCAAATGAAACCTTCGCATCTTCAGTTCAGCCTCCTGCCTTTTCGTGGAACCAGCTCTAAGCCGTTCATCAAAGCAGGTCTCACAACCATCTTGTAGAACTAGTCACCCCTGAAATCCTGCCTGCACTCTCTTCTTCATTTCTCTTTTTCACCGTCCATTACTTTGTTCCAGTCTTTAAACTTTTGGGTACTTTTTACCTCTGTTTCATGCAGCTTCCCTGTTACGCCAGTCTCCCTCTCATTCATATAAATAAGTTTTTCTTGTCAGCCTTTAGTTGTAAAGAATAAAAATATTAACAAATTTTGTTTCACTCACCTGTTGATTCAGCAATTAGGAAGAAACCCAGGAGGACCCTGAGAAAAGCCATGTGTGACAACAGATTACACTGAAGTGCCTGCAGACTAAACAAAAAGTTTTATTTTTCAGTCAACTGAAACCTTATGTTGAGATGAAGGGAGTGGTTTAAAGGAAATGAGTATTATTCTGAAAGGCAAAAGAAAGGGAAAGTTAGCTATAGCATGCCTTTTACACAGTTTCTTACAAGCTTCCCCTTTACTATTAAGCATTTGCCAGAACAAAGTAAAAAAACAAACAAAAACCTGATTCACAAAGTTTCGGTGCAAACTGCGAGTCAATAAAGAATACATATAAAAAAGATAAAAACCATTTATTCTGTGGTGTCACCAAATTACCTTTGCACAGTGAAATAAATATGTCTCTGATTCACATGGCAGTGTGGTCCATCTTCTTAGTTTCACACTGAAACCTTGACAATTTTAGTTTTCGAATGACCTGATGAAAATTTACATCTTTACAGCACTAAAAGGATGGGATAGTCAGCTCCACCTAACTATTCTGTCAGTGACTGGCCATGTTTGGGTTCAAGGATAACATTGTGATCCCCACAAGGAATTTCAGCTGGTAATCAAGTTTGACTGCCAGCTGTCAAACTCCTCCAAGTGACAAGAGAGACCATTGCATCTTGGAAAGTGACTATGCCCTTTCTAGAAAAGGCCACGAAGGCCGTGTGATTTTTTACATCATGCTAGTTGTTTGGGAACTTTATGTAAAATTATTCCTAAGAGATCATCTTACCTGACCACTTGTTTAAGATGTTTTAACATACCAATCATCTTGTTCCAGTTTACAGCTTTCTGAATTTAAGAGTCTTAAACTCTGAGTCTATTAGAGCATTATTTTGACACAGAAGGAATCCCAAGTAGAAAATGATCCTGGTGTCCAAGTGAATGGGACAAATTTTCATCCCTATGAAAGAATTAGCTTTGTGCAACTGCCTGTCCCACAGGGTGATGTGGGCCTTTAACATGCTCCCTTGTTTGCAGAGTGAAAATGTGTTAATATTTCTATGCTTCTGAAGCTACCTGGGGAACAAAAATAAGGAGAATTAAAAAGCTGAATATTTCAGACATATATTTTAAATCTCTGTATATGAAGGTAAATTTTTTTCCATGCCTCCATTAAATATACTGACCATTGATATACTGAATTCACTGACCCCCCCCCCCCCCCCCAAAAAAAACAAAACAAAAACAAACAAAAAAAAAAAACAAGAAAACAACAACATAGTCAATTCATCAGTTACACTGTTTGATATAAGAAGTGTTTTTTCAAACAATATTTATTTCTATTAGTCTTTGCGTTTGTTGCCTTCACTTTTGTTTTGATAGGATCACAAAGGTGCTGTCATCTCGTGCCTTCGAACTGACAGTGGTCTAAGTAGAAATGAGTAAAGAGGGCTCGCATTTGTTTAGTGTGTGGGTGTAAGCTTCAAAGACCACCCATGCATGCATGCAACACCTCACTGGCTTTTAGTGCCTGACATTTAAAGAAAGGAAACAAAGGGGGGGGATCACTTCCGTCAGAGGGGGGTACCTATAGGGGCCTTTACTGATACAGTGATACAGACACCCTATAAACGTTTACATCTCATTTGATTATTGCTACATTATATTTACATACGTGTGTATGTATATATATATATATATATATATATATATATATATATATATATATATATATATATACATATATATATATATATATATACAGCTAGATAGATATATAATGGGTTTTAATTAGGTTGGTACAGTTGTAGTTAGGTTAGGACATCTTAGCAGCACTGCATGGCAGCATGTGACAATTTTAATTGATTATATGGTAAACTTTAGATATTAGTGGTGGCTGATGATCAAAGTAGCCAGTTATTTTACTTGAATTCTTGAATCTCTCCCTTCCTAATTATGTCTCACCATTATTTTCTTACCATGTTACTTTCACCTTCCTTTGTGTCTTCACTTCTGTGTTTCTCCACAGCTGGTGCTAACAGGTGGTTATTGGGTGTTGCTGGTTACTTGACGGTGGTGGAGCTGCAGCAACAGCAAATTATCATGTCATTAATTTGACACATTTTGCTGCATTTATTTTTTTTTGTGTGTGTATCAGCTTGTCACATCCATAGTTTCACTATTTCTTCGACATTAAACTCTGTAGGGGAGGATGCTGCGTTCAGAGATTTCACTACAATACAATGTCAGTATTGAAAATGAACAAATGGGCTGCTTTACAGGTGATTTGCAGCGGCCCTTCAATTGACCCATCGGCCCAAAAATAGGTCGTCCCACCGGGAAGATGTCCATTATGCCAGATTACCAATACAGCTCTCCTCTGTACGCTTTAATGTTTAAATTGATCCTGTTTAAATATTCAGAGTTTCAATTTGCAGCTGTCACCTTAGAAATAAACGGAGCACTGAGAGTGTACTCAGGTTAACTTGATTAATTTTTACCGTTATATTTTTTGTTTTTTAATCACCATTTGATCATCGCTTGCAGAATATCTCTTTATGTGCACACAGAGCCTAAAGCAGTGAACCTGCTTTAACAGAAAGTTCATTACCACCTTATTTTTAACCTGTTTGAAGCTTTAGTTATATTAAATGATGTTGTAATTTCATAATATTTTGCGGGGGGTTAATAATTTCACAAAAAGCTCTTCAAAGAGAGAGACTGGTTTTGAACCACCTGCTGGCCGTAGGTACAGATAAATGAGAACGGGTGCTGTACAAATTTTAGGGTATTACATAAATAAATGGGTAACTATCTAAAACCCATCTGGACTGTATGGTTCACTAAAACAGTGATGTTAGTTTAAAACGAAGTGCTGTTCTTTTTTAACATGAACACAACCTTTTCTACCTCTTTAAAATATGTTATTCTTGTAAACATATTTTATTTAAGTTGCTTATTTTTGTACAAAAAACAAAACAAATCTGAAAATCTAAAAGCCGAGGTAGAAAAAAAAAGCCTCCCTCCCTAATATTCACCTTTACTCGTTGAATGGAGGAACAATTTTCCCTCACTTATTGTTAACATTTGGTTGGACACTCAGCAAACGTGTGTCAGTATTGTCTCTGCAGTATAATAAATATTCTTATTTCAAATATTTGAATTCCACAAACGGCACTCCTTTACACAATTTAATGATTTATTTATTTATTATGCGGTGTCCAGATAATAGTAGAAAATAAAACCATCTGGTGCTCAGTATACATGCTTTTCAAAGCAGCAGTTGACCAGAGGACAAAAACTTCACAGTTCAGTAATGCTAAGTAACACTTGATTTTGCAGTGTAGAGAAACATTGTACATTGTACTCATGATAATTTGCATAATAATGGTTCACGGCAAACTGAACAATCAAACTCGAAATAAACACACTGATGACATACAACACAAAAACAAGGAGTTATCAGAAACTCAACATCCCTATAATCAAAATGATCTGAATAATCATAGTTTCAGTTTCTTCTTAAGGATTTTTGTTCTGAGTATGTGAAGTGTGTATCAAGGAGGGATGTCGAGCTCATTTTAATTAAATATCCACAAATGGAGAGCAAAAATCAAAAGGAATACATTTAATGAATCTAATAATAATGATAATATCAATAACACCACCACCACTATGCCATTATTAAAAATAATAATTCATTATTATTTATTGTTATTATTCTTGCCATTTTGATGATAAATTAATAATAAGCCTGTCAAGCCTCTCCTAAAAAAAAAACAGAAAACTGTAAAACTGTATTTTATTCAAATATGTAAATGTATGTGTATGTATAATATGTAAAAATCACAGTTAAAAAAAAAAAATCAGCTTATATAAAAAACACCAAATGTTTTAAAGTCATTGGCTTCTTTACATATGCGTTGATATTCTATGTGTGCAGATCAGACTGTGTGGTATAAATAAGCGCGAGAGGTAAAAATTCATCAAACGTTCAGCAAAATGCAAACACATACACATGAATGTAAAGTATTGATGCGTATTCAGAAGTAATTCAGGTCAGTAAGATCTGTTTAGTCTCAGCTCACAACACCTAATAATAAAAACACTAAACGAAGGGCTCCAAAGATCAGATCAGCCCCTTCGAGCAGCACTTGGTTGAAGTGGAGAGAAACCTTCACACCCAAGCTAAAAAAGACATGCTATATTACTTCTGCTTTTGATTAGAAAAAGTAAACTGAATGGATGTTAATTCACTGAGCAGTTTCCAGTTTTTTGTTCCCCTCCCTCCCTCCACTCAACATTTTTAGCCCTTTTCTATTAGTACCTACTCAGGTCAGGTTGGCTCAGCTTGACTCAGTTTTTAGGGTTTTCCATTACCTTGTAGTACCTGGTACTTTATGAGTGAACTAAGTGTGGCGATCCAAAAATGTGACATTATTGATGGCTAGTCAGTGTTGCTGACTAGCCACTGTTAAAAGCCAGCAATGAGGGAAAGGACAGCCACAGAACAATCAGTATATCACCTTGACATCCTTATGTTCGGCTGCATCACTTTCATGCCTGCATGCATGTCAGGTGGCACTCGATTATAAAAGCAAATGACCAAAACCAAGCAGAGCAGAGTCGAAGTAGGTATTAGTAAAAAATGGCTATTTGTAGCTGAGTTGAGGATATGGAGGCCTCAGTAACTGACTGATGTATTCACCATACCACCACCTTTGCAGAGGTGTAGAACCTTTACTGACCTCAGTAGACTTTTTTTTCCCTACAGTCTTGAGGTAAATGTTGCTAAAGCATCAGCAAACATCTTTTCAGTCTTTCTCCTTTGTTTTTTTGTTTTCTCAAAATGTAACACTGCTCAAATAAAAGAGTGTGAAGATAAAATGTCTGACATCATGTGACAGAGGAAGTGAGGTAGTTTCAAAATTATCACCCGCAATGTCTAAAACTTTACTTGATTTGACATTAATGGACAGCAGAGATGGTCTTCAGTGTGGTGTACTTGATAAATGTAGTTACTGAAGTGTCAGCGTTCAATCTTTCCTCAACCCTTTACTTTCAGTTTGGGTCAAATTTGACCTTTTCTGACATTTTACAACAGTCTTAACAACACATCACCCCCCACCCTCACATTTCCATCGGCATCCACTAAAGTTACACACTACTAGTTTTTCTTCCCCCACTTACAAATCCCTCAATGGCCTGGTCCCACAGTACCAGTCTAACCTGCTGCACCCACACACACAGTCTCGATGGTCGGTCTCTCTCCCTCCTCAACCTCCATACTTTCATGGGCAGAGCATTCATTTTGGTTGCCCACACCCTCCTTCCTTCACAACGTGCCATTGGGATTTTTTTTGTTGTTATTCCAGTTGTTATTATAACTTTTATTATTATAATTTGGTGTGATTAGCCTCACAATAAGAATATTCCTGGTTTAAATCTTGCCTGTGGCCTTTTTTCTTTTCTTGGTACTCCAGATGGTTCAAAGTCTAAACACATACATTTCAGTTATGTTAGTAATTCTAATGTGTCCATGTGTATGCAGTACATAAAATGCTTGCAGTGCACCTGCAAGCACAAATATCCATGTGTCATTCCATACATGCAAATGTGTGCACGCAAAGTTTCCTACCACTGCTTTGAATGCACAGATTAGCTTCAATAAGCAAGATTTGTTCTCTAGGTGTATATATTTAACCAGTATTAATAATTATAAATGTAGTTATGAGGGCATTTTTATGATAGATATGTGAGGACAGTGGTTAATCGTTTTAATGGTTACAAATTATCATCTAATAAACAAACAGTTTGTGATCTTATCATTTTCACTTTAAATTAAATATATTTAAATCCTTATGGCGGTTATTTGTAATCAGCAGGACTGATTCTTCCTCAGTAGGATGTGATGCTGCTTCTTATTTCTCTTAAGAAGCAACACTAACAAACCAACAGCTGCAGCAACAGCAATGACAGCACCAACAGCAGCAACAATCAGGATAGTCTGTGCTTCAACCTGTTCAACCTCAGTGTTTCCATCAGCATCTTCTCTTTCCATGATGTGCTTCTCCAACATGTTTTCATGCACTTCACCTGCAGAGCAAAGATTAGCTGTCAGAGAGGAAACCCTCAGATGTGAGCTTTAACGTGTTCAGCAGGTAAAGCTAGCAGGAGAACAGCTTCAGTCAGCTGCAGTTAAGGAGATGTCAAGTTACATAAAATGTGTTTGGCTGTTGACCGAAAGCATCTATGTTAGCAGCATGCTACGACTTTACCCTTGATATACAGTAGTAAGAACTGCTAGCTCAGTGCATGTCATTTTCTGTATTAAAGCTACTCGCAACAGAGTGAGCAGCTCAGCATGTTTTATCTGACATGTGACACTAAACACACATATGTTTTTGCTGACTAAAGCCCAAAGGTTTTGTGTCACCTGGGCTTGAACTTGCTAAGTGAACATGCTAACTACGACATTATGGACGCACTCCATTTGCTGTTGGCATGACAAACTCACCTGTGACTGTGAGGTCAATGAAGTGACTGATCTCAGTGTGAACTCTTTTACTGCTCACAGGGTTCCTCACAGCTACGTGACACTCATACATCCCAGTGTCATTAAATGTGACGTTCTTCAGAATCACAGAAACGTCTCCATCCTTCATCTCTGGGTCCCTCAGCTTCACTCGGCCATGAAAAGATGGATGTTGGTAATTTTCATAGGAGCGTTTGTTCCTGTAGAAGTAGACGTAGCCGTCTGTGTTCAGGTCAGGTCTGCTCCACTTCAGCACTGAGATTCTTTCATCTGTAGTAATCTGACACTGGAGAGTGACGTCTGCTCCGAGCGTCGCCTGCATATTCTGCTGAAGAGCTGAAGAAAAGAACGATCAATTTTCTTATTGCAAAGACATTTTTAATGCATGAAACTGACATTAAAAAAGGACATTTAATATTTTTAAACAAACCACAGTTGACCAAACAAAGTTTGAAGGAAAATTTCACCAATATGGGGCAGGGATAGCTCAGTAGGTAAAGTGGTCGCCCCATGATCGGAAGGTCGGCGGTTCGAATCCACTTAACGGCTACCCTGAGTACCCCTGAGCAAGTACCGTCCCTACACACTGCTCCCCGGCGCCTGCTTAGTGGCTGCCCACTGCTTCACTGAGTGAATGGTCAAATGCAGAGAAAAACAAGTAATTTCCCCATGGGGATCAATAAAGTGAAAACATCTCCTCCCTGTATTCAGCGCTGTAACCATATCAGGTTTTCTGTGCATGATTTAAAAAGTTCACTTTATGTTTAAAAAAAAAAGAACAAGAGAATGGGAATGAAGAGAATTTAAATCTAGACCATGCTATGTACTGAAAGATTAGATAAAGATAGAATGCTCAAAATGTCCTTAACTTTAATGTAGTTACTGAATTTCGTTCAGTAACTTATTTGATTATTGAATAGTGTAATGTGATTACACGACCACATTACTTTGAAATGTTTTACAGTCAAGACTTTACACAGACCCTGAAAATCAGCAACCAGCTTTATAGATATAGTAGCACAGTCGTTTGAGATGCACTATATCAATATAGATTCAGAGAGCATATTTAAAATCCATCTTTGCGATTCTGTCCACTCTTACCCTCTATATTTGGTTGCTTTTCAGCTAGTAAAGCAGAGCAGAGGTGGTAGGCCCAAATGGGGCTTTAGTTTTATTATATTGTATTACAGACAACAACAAGCATATATAATATGACAGTTTTAGAATATATATTACTTTTATACACTTGTTTCAAATGGCAACATTTGGCAAACTTTAACTGAAAATGTAATTGATTGACAAAACTTGGTAATTGGGTAATAAAAACCACACATGGTCTTCTGATCCATCTATGTGACCAAACCTACACAGGTGTGTCTGCATTTCCTCTTTTTTTCTCCATTTGTCCTCTCTCATCATAGCAAAACCAAGTGGAGGCTAAGACCAAACTCCCTTTGATTTCCAAGAATTGTCCTCTCCTTGTTTTCAACATCACTTGTAATATTGAGTTTCCCAATGCTGTGGTGTTCTCAAGGAATGTAAACTTTTCAAAGTATTGCTTTTAGTTGGATTTGATTTACTTACACTTTTTAAAAAATGTAAACTATAGTTAAAGTATGATTATTCTTTTTGCAGTAATCCAACTGTTTCTCTCCATCCAAACATGTATACTGTTATCTCTGAGCGAGCAACGTAACAGGGACAACCATCAACAAGGTAGACAGTGGAGGAAGGATACAGAACAAAAGCGTGATTTAGTTTTTTATTACAGCTTTACACACTTGAATTAATTAAATATTAAGAAAACGTCAAAACACACAGTAAAAACATGCATCTATTGAAACCCCAAAGTTTCTTTCTATAATAAGAAGCAAGCCTGACACATGATAACCAGTCATGCCAACTACAGCTGTGTGGATGTTTGCTAATTATTATATATTTACCCAAAAGTGCACTTGTGAACTCTGATGCTGTCATAGTTGATTCTCAGTCCCTTTATCCTTTCTAAAAGTCTTCAAGAATTACTATTATTTTTTCCTCACAGCTCAATGAAGAAAATAATTACATTTAAAGTTTGCAGTTAAAAGTAATGCATGTGATCTATAACCCATTTTATATCAATGATTTATTTATTTATTTTAACCAATTACGAAAAGAGAAAGTTTAATTCCTTTGTCATTTGCAATCAGCCGAACCTCATTCCATGACTCATTCCATGACTCATTAGTTTCCTGAAGACGCGCTCATTCTCGCAAATCCCGTTTTCCGACTAGGAATGCGTGATTAGCCGGATTAAAAAAAAAAAAAAAAATTAGTCTTTTGACCATCCCGTTGTCACAAAGGGGTCACAACCTAGTAGTGAGATTTCACCTGTTAAGCGAGAGTGAGTTTATCACCTTTAGACTGGGTGCCAATAACCTTTTTACGTAAATTAAATGGAACACGAACAGAACTCGCTCATTTATAAAACTGCCTTTAGTTACAGAAAGAATAAGCAAGGAAAAAACTGTTTGACTCACCTGCAGACACAGAAATTAGTGACAAAAACAGGAGAAATCTGACAAAAGCCATCTGTGACAAGCCAGAGGAGAGAAGATTATAGCAGCCCTGACCTAAACAGAAAGAAGCAGCTCACATTCCAGACCTACCAGCCTTTATAGGGAGGGTGGGCCACTTTAAAAACGAAACTATTTAAACTATTTAAACTATTTAAAATTACAGTCACACCGGAAAGTAGAACCATATATAATCCGCACTTTAAAAATGCAATGAAGAATGTATGACATGTATGACATTTCAGACAGAAAAAAGTCAACAAATCAATAGAAAACCCCCAAAAACTTTGATTTCCGATTTCCTTTTTAGACTTTTAAATGTGACAGTTCACCAGTGGATTAACAGGAAGCTCAACTGAATTCCTCTCCCTTCCCCCATCAGAACAGAAAAAAAATCATTTTCAGGTGAAATAAATCTGCTTTAGTTGATTATGATTTAATGAAACAAATATATAAATAATTAAATGTCCATTGATGTTCTCATTAATTATTAATTCGTTTTGGCACCCATGTTTGGTCCTGATGCCTTCAAGTCTGGAACTGCAGCTGCTAGAATGCAGCTCAGGGAAGTATTCAGTTACATGTAGAGGATCTTTATCACCGATAACTTTCAATCAGTAAGAGACAGAGACTAAAGGGATCCAGTCCAGGTTTCTTTCATTCTTGATCAGCGTCAGACCTGAACGCACGGAGCACCAGATCCAAATTAAAGTTCCCGCTCTTATTTATTCACATCTGAAATAATTGGCGCACTGAGTGTTCATAGCTGCTGCTGGTCTCATGTCTGATTTATATGTAAGCTGTCCTCACTCTGATTCAGGCGGCGCCCAAATAGTGTGTTACGGGCGGAGAGAGGGGAAAGCAAAACACCCACTTTTTATGTGAGCGTGCACAAACAGACACAGACAAACAGCCAACAAACAAAAAAAAAGAGAAAAAAACCCACATTCAACCACTTCGTGTCAGTAACTGTTTTTGTGCAGTGAGGCCACGAGGTCCACTTACAGTCGCGTTCATAAATATGAAGAAAGCTCCTGTATGACACTGATGGAGTCAAAACGAGTTAACGCTCACCTGCAGTCACGGTGAGCCCAGCACAGACATTCCCGCCTCATTGTTCTGCTGACCCGACTCTTCAAGCTCGCTAAATATCCAAGGCTGGTGAGATTTCCTGGGAACAGAACATCCCTTATCTCTTTATCCTAATTCTAATCCGAACGATGTCGAAGTTCAATTTGAAAATAAAACTCCCGAGTGTCATGACAGGTGGGTTTGTTCTCAGCCTCGCGCTCTGGCGACTGTTTGTGTCACGAGGACGAACAAAAACAGTCTGTGGGTGGGATCAGAAACACGTGCGTAATAACAAAGAAGGTCACGTTACTCAAATAAACGTCTGGCAGGCTTCGTGTTTCACAGCTGATCAACAACAAACCTGATCATTAATCAATAATCAGTCATATTAAAACCATCACAGAAGCTTTTTAATAGAATCAAAAGGATTCACGATCATCTTTACGTGAATCTCTGTAACTTTTAACCTTTATATACACTGCATGGCATTTCTATTTCATCTCATGCTCCTACTGCAAGTTCCTGTAAGTGCTTCACAATAAAACCCTAGGTCAGACATCCAATCGAAGTGTTCATACAAAGGCTTTTAATTTGTAACAGATGCAGGAAGTGATGTGTTTAGACAAAAGAGGATTTAGCTTGTAGCTACTTTCAGCTGCTCAAAAAACTGAATTATATGAAGTCAGTTTCTGTTTATGTGCTTTTTTCCTTCAGAGCTGTTCTCTTGTTATCCAAAAATAATCAAAGCACTTTAAATATCAACACAACAGCTTTAACTTTTTGTGTGAAAGTACTCAAACTACACCAGTGCTTGAATCTGATTTCTCACTTTGAGGAGAAGTGAAATGTGACCCATCAGAAGTGGCGGTCCTAGCCTGTTTGGCGCCCTGGGCGAACTCTCCCTCTGGCACTGACAGATGCAAACAGACTAAATAACCTGATCCACAAGGTCAGTAATGTTGTGGGGATGGAGCTGGACTCTGTTAGGGTGGTGCCTGAGAGGCAGATGTTGTCCAAGATAAAGATAGTGTTGGATAACACCTCCCACCCACTCCATGACATGCTGGTCAGTCACAGGAGCTCGTTCAGTGAGAGGGTGAAATTACCAAAAAGCACCACTGAACGACACAGGAAATCTTTCCTGCCTGTGGCCATCTCCCTGTACAACGCATCCACTTAACACACTGTAAACACTGCAAAACTTACACCCTTTTTACACGCGCTCTTTTCTACTCTGGAATATTCTTGAAAATTTTCTTGATAGTTATTTATAATCACCTCTGTTAATCCTTGATATTTATAATTGAGTGATCTCTACATATTAGTGCTATTTCTTAAATGTGTAAAATCTGTAACATAATGTATTGTTTGGAGTTTAGTCTGTTACTGTTACTATTTTTACCATTTCTTCTTGGAGCAACTGTAACCCAGATTATTTCCTTAGGGATTAATAAAGTATTCTGATTATGATTCTGATTGTTTCAGGATGACCTGCCATTATCCAGTGACACATCTGCTTACCTGTATCTTTTGCTCGTTTCTCCTCCTCTTCTTTTTTCTTTTTTCTAAACTGAGCTCCTGATGGCTTTGAACTTTTCTTGTCCGTCTTCCACTGGTTTTAATTTTGCCCTCCAGTATGAACACCCACCTCACAACCCGAGGATCATAATCTAATAGACCTACACCTTAGTTCACAGATTCACTTTGTCT